CATACTTTGGGCATGTTGCCAGGAGGTACCAGTCCTTGGAGAAGGACATCATGCTTGGAAAGTTGGAGGGACAGCATAGGAAAGAAGACCTTGGATGAGATGGATTAACATAGTAACTGTGATAAAGGTGGTCAGTGTGTTGGAGACAGACTGGCTCAGGATGGGACAAAGTTCAGAGCTATAGTGCATAGCGTTGCTGTAAACCGTAGTTGACTCAGTGGCACATAACAACAGTATAGGAAAATTGGCATTAGATTCAGTTATTTGGAAAATTCAATTTTGTGAAATAACTTTTCCCCCAGTAATGCCAACAAAATAAGTTTTTCCCTACTATCTTAATATGAAATACTCTGTTTAGTCTATTTAGTTAGGAAGAAATCAGGAGCCTGCTTGATGGTGGCTAATGACAAGTGTTTGTGTCATTGTTTTACTGGAGTGGCTTCCACACTGGATCCTTAAGGCCTCCACCCAGTGGTCATTTTAATATGGTTTTAAAAATTCTGAACAACCCAGAAGACAAGTAACTATTATTTTATTTTGTTTGAAACTATTCCTGATGTTATTAAATATTAAAGTGTATAGAAATACTAGGACATATGTACACTATTTAAAGGATATTTGACATGAGAGGTAAATTTGTTCAGAGTATCTACTACCTTCCAGTTGACTACTATGGAACAATGGCTTTTTATTTTCTTCTACTATTTTCATTTTTTTATTTAAACATCATTAATTTCATTTAGCCATAAAATATAGAAAGTTTCAAAATGCTAGGAAATCTATTTTAGTCTAGATTGCAGTTATTAGTTAGGTCTCCTAAGGCTTTATAATATTTTTTCCCCATTTTGTTTTCTTTAGAAAGGACTGAAGTAATTATGTGTAACAGAAATAATATAAACATTAAGATTCATCTAAATGAGCCAACTCAGTGCATATTCATTAATGGTTTCTATGGCAATTATAACTATTTCTTGTGTGCATAGTAAAAAAATATATGGGATAATTAACACCAGAATTTACATTTTGGCATACGTCCTAGGACTTAGCCATTAGCATGCCATGCTCAATTTCTAAATCCACAAACTTGCAGTAACTTTTTCTAGAAAGTCTTCTTTCTCTTCCATTCTCAAAACATAATTATATTTTTGGAACTGTAGACTGTATAATTCTTTATAATTTTTTTAAGAACCAAGAAGGATGAAAGATAACGTACTAATCAAAGGAACATGCAATTCTCAGTCATTATAGTATACTAACATCCCACAGATTCAGCCACATTCTTTTCCCATCTTTGAAAGAGGATTTGGCAGCTTTATGGAATAGTAAGCTGTTTCTCTGAGCCACTCTGACAAGGAAATTGGCTCAGTGTCTTATGTGTTCATAGGCCTCATTGGCTGTAAAGCATGGGAAACACATCTGACATGGCACAGCTTTCTATCCAAAAAGAAATGCTATGCCACTTCATTTCTCTCTCCTTTCACATCACATCCTTTGTGCATGTTGTCAGGAGGGACCAGGCCTTGGACAAAGACATTATGTTGGGAAAAGTGGGGATTCAGAGAAAGAGAGAAAGACCCTCAACAAGATGGACTGACAGAGTGACTGTAACAATGGGTTCAACCATATCAGAGATAGCAAAGATGGAGCAGCATTGGACAAGGTTCAGATCCATTGTTCATAGGGTCACCGGGAGTTGTAGACAACTTAATGGTAGTTAACAACAGCATCATAATAGAATTCCATAAGGACCACCTTGGTTCTCGTTTGTTATAGGCTCTGGAAATCATAAACCTTCCTGAACTCAACAGAGGTAAAAACCAACATAAATATGGTAACTGTCCAAGGGTTAATAAACAAACATATGGGTCTGTTTCATAATGGCTTGCTTGGTACCCTGTTGTGTGATGCATTAAGTACTAAAATGCTAATCAAAAGCTTAGCAGATCACATCTGCCAACCACTTCTTACCAAGCACTGCGCAGAAGAGAGAGGAGGTATGCTTGTGTAAATGCTTATGACCTGAGAAACTCAGCACAGGAGCACTGCCTACTCTTTCCTATATGAATGCTGTGAATCAGAGTCAACTTGATGGGAGTGAGTTTCGTTTAGGTTTGTTTTTGATCATTACTAGTTAAATTTTGTCTTGAAGACAGTGAAGCCAGAATGCTCCTTGGAGGAAAAGATTATAAAGCTTCATCTCACATACTTTAGGGGTGCTGCTAGGAGAGGCTATTCCTTTAAGAGGAATATCATGCTTGGAAAGGTAAAGGGTGCTGAAAGAGAGGAAGACCCTCAACTAGGAGGATTGACACAGGTACTGCTGCAATGGGCTCAAGTGTGTTAGGAAGTGTGAGGATGGTACAGGATAGGACAGGGTTAAGATCTGTTGTTCATAGGTTCATGTGTGTTGTACTCAACTCAATGGCACCTAATGAGACCAGTTAAATATAGGAAAAAGTTAAGCCATCTACAGAGTGATTATTATAAAATATTATTTGGCTTATGCTTTGGATAAGGTTTTATTCTTTTCCCTGGGAAGTTTTCTATATAGTATTTATAATTTCACAAACCTCAATTTATTAGAAATATTTTAATTCTTCTTAAATGAAAAGCAATACAATTTCTAGTTATAGCATACTTGATTAAACTTTAAATAAAAAATTTCTTTTCCTTGGAAACGCATTTGTTACAGAAATTTGTTATTGATTTTAAACTAAAATCTAGCATGATTTTAAAATGTATACATAACGTCAAGAGTGAGATGGGCCACTTTGTTACTGTGGTGTTGGAGAAGAGTGCTGAATATCCCATGAACTACCAAAAGAACAACCAGATATGTCTTAGAGAAGGTGCAGTCAGAGAGCTTCTTGGAGGCAAAGAGATAAAGCTTTGTTTTACATACATACTTTGGACATGTTACTATGAGAAGTTATTCCTTGGATAGGGTCATCATGCTTGGAAAGGTGGAGGGAGAGGAAAGGAGAGAAAGACCCTCAACCAGGTGGATTGACAGTGTGACTGCAGCAGTGGGCTTGAGTGTGTCAGAGATTGTGAGGTTGACACACAATAGGACAGGGCTCAGATCTCTTGTTTATCACATTACTATGAATCGTGCTTGACTCAACAGCACCTAACAGCACCAACAATAACCCCTGCTTTGAAGTTTTGGTGTGTACATCCAGTACATTTCCTTTTTAATGACTGAGTTGTATATGGAGCGATCTCCTCCTGTACGATGCACATCCTCCAGAAACTCATGAGAGGGTCAACTGTGAGTCAGTTGCGACTTGACAGCACACAGCTACTCCTCTGAGTCTCTCTCATTAGATCTACTAAGGTAGTTTTGAGTGAGAGCTGTTTCTTTACTCAAATGTAACCGTGGCTAAGGTGGACTGATTCAGTGACTGGGATAATCAGGATGGGAGTATCAGAGACGGTGTGATTGGCACAGGACAGAGCGGAGTTTAGGGCTGTTGTACATAAGGTCTCTATGAGTCGCAAGCAGCTCGACGGCACATAACAACAACAACCAGAAATACTTCTATGACTTCTAAGGTGAAAGGTTTTAAAGTCCTCATAATTATAACAAATAAGCGATCCTAGTGGCACAGTTCTTAAGCAATCAGCTACTAACAAAAAAGTTGGCAGTTTGAACTCCCCGCCTGCCACTTTACAAGAGAAAGATGTGAATGTGAGTAAAAACTATGGCTTTGGAAACCCTACAGGGAAATTCTCCTCTATGTCCCATTAGTCAGAATTGCCTTGACAGGAGCAAGTTTTAATAGTAATAATTAATAGAATTAAAATAGAAACAAATAGATCTGTGGAACAGAATTTTTTAAAAGTAAAAAAATAGATCTCATACATCTGCCATCTGTGTCTGAAAACACAATATAAGGCCAGTTCGGTTCAGTTCAGTTCAGTTCATTTGAAAGAGGGGAACAGATTACTTACTGAATATTGCTGGTATAGAAGCAGCTATTCTGCCAGAAAATACAAATGCTGCTCCACACATATCAAAAACTCAAATTTATTGCCTCCAGCAGGTTTTCCAAGCTGAAAATTACACAGGAGGGCATTGCCAGTCTGTGCTGAAGAGCAGCTGGTAGAGTTAGACTGCCAGAGAAGCTCCACTTCGGGTTAGCAGCAAGGCTCTTCAGGACTGTGCCACCAGAGCTCCCCACACCCCGTGTGTGCGTGGAGGCAGCTCTCTCTGAAAAAAGTTAGTTTTATAGATCTGTGACCTAAGTGAAAGAAGTGAAACAGTAAAATCTCGCAACATCATTTAGAAGACTATGTTCACAAATTGGTGGAAAAGAGACTTTCTAACCAAGACATGGAAAATAATGCACTTTTCCAGGATGATGTAGACATCCACAAGTTATGAACAGAAAAACAGACCTAAAAAATGAAAATGTTTCCTAAAAAAAGTATGAAATAGCCTCAATATACCAAAAAATTATTGTCATTTATTTGCCCCTTCAGAAATTGTTAGGTTTTATTGCTTTTTTGTTTTGTTTTGCTAAGTTTCTCTTCTTGTATTGGTTTGCTCACAAGGTTCATATACATTGTGTTTCACACTATTCTTTATTCATATTGTGTTTCGTGCAATCATTCTCATGCACTATGTTGTCTGAAAATTGTTCAGAGAAGACAGGTAAAGTCAGCAGGAAGATAACTTCCAGTTAGTATTACTCTTTCTCACTTTTTTCTATTAAAATTCAAAATTATTTCTTTTCTAAAATACAGAAAGTAATAAAAGAAATCTAAAGCACTAGCATTCCTACCACTTAGAGGTAATCATTATTAAGATTTTAGAGCATGTAATTTATGCTCAATTTTGGTTTTTTAGTGAAACATAAAAGTGTGAATTTTGTCAACGTTTCATATTTTAATAAAGAATGAGTGAATTCTTAAAAGTTTCATTAACCTTATCATTTTTTTTTTACCCTTACTTTTTCCTTAAGTTATTCACTCTGCTTACTTGCCTTTTTTCCTAGTTCCTGGCAGACATGGAAAATAATGCCCTTTTCCGGGATGATATAGAATGTCAAAAACTCATTATGGAAGCAATGAAATATCATTTATTACCAGAGAGACGGCCGATGTTGCAAAGCCCTCGGACAAAACCTAGGAAATCAACTGTTGGCACATTATTTGCAGTTGGAGGAATGGATTCAACAAAAGGTATCAAAAGATTTCTTTATTTGGGGGGAGAGGAAAAACAGTCATTTTAATGATCAAAGAGCTCTTTGGAGAAATGGCTGACTCCAAGGCTGGGCAAGAGAAAATACAAGATAAGCCTGGAAACTCTTTTAACGTCAGAATGTAAGGAAGTGTGCAAAGCATGAAGGCAACAAACCAGGAAGAAGCAAGAAGCAGCGTTTACAGGTGCTCAGACCACTGCCATTGAGCCTGTTCTGACGCGTAACGACACTCCACCTGGTTTCTGAGGCTGTAAATCCAACAGGAATACTGCACATCTTTCTCCCTCAGAATCACTGGTGGACTCGAACCACTAGATCCACTTAACCATTTGTTGGAAGCAAAACTTACTGTGGACTATGCTACCAGTGCCCCCTGTTGATAGTGGCTTCTGCTTATCCAAGTCTGGGGTAATATGGGCATAAGAATAAATGATGGTTGAAAAATTTTAAGCTGTGGTGTCAGGATGTTTCTGTGAATCCACATTGATACTCAACTAAAGAAAGGAAAGTTCTTTCTTACCCTGAAATGTCAACTGATAAATGTCAGAGGAGAAAATTTACTCTTAGGTGCTATTGAATCAACTACATATGATTTGTAGCAACCCTGTGAGTACCTGCCCTGTGATATTGTCACAACCTCCACCGTGCTCTAGCCCGCTGTAATGCTCACCATCTCAGCCCATCTCCTTGAAGAACTGCCTTTTTCACTGATCCTCTCCCTTTCCCAATATGATGTCTTTTTCCAGAGATTAGTCTCTCCTAATAACAAGTCCAAATATGTGAGATAAAGTTCCACCAGGCTTACTCTAAGAAGCTCCCTGATTGCACTTCCTCCAAGGTCAGTTTGTCCTTTAAGCAGTCTGTGGGACATTCCATACTCTTTGACAACAGCACAATTCAAAGGCATCAGTTCTTCTTTGGTTGTCCTTATTCACAGTACAACTATAAGATGCATATGAAACAATTGAAAAGGCAAAGCTTGGATCAAGCACACCTTAGTTATCAAAGTGACATCTTTGCTTTTTAGCACTTTGAAGGGGTCCTTAAAAATAGGTTGATTTCCATCCTTTGATTTCTTGACAACTACTTTTGCAGGTGTTGATGTGGATCTAAGAAATTTCATAAATTCTTGAAAACTTTAGTCTTTCATCTTTCTATCATGATGGGGTGACTATGGGGGGAAAAGGGATTTAAAGAAATGACCATTCGATAACCATCCTGATAACCATTTTCAGACAAAAAAAATTATCAATGGATACTGAGACTACTGGATGAAAATTTAAAGAAAACAAGAAATTTTGTCCCAAAGGATCCCCTACTGTTCTTATTAGTTACAAATGGTAAAATAGTATCTTTATGGTTGAGAAGACTGGCACACAGCACCTTAACCAGATGCTGCAAAGATAGCATTGCCAGTCATCAAACAGCTGCACATACGTTTGATTTGACGCGCTGAGAAGAGCCCAGCAGTGCATACATTATCCTTGCCAGAACTGTGACTATTTGGAAGTGAAAAACATACCTAGATCAAGGGACATTTTGCAGAATGATTTACCTGTTTATAATCTAAGCACAGAAAATTCAAGGATTGTTGTAGATTAAAAGACACTAATGAGAAGTGACAGCTGATTAGAACGAATGATCTTGGATTTTCTTGTGCTACGAGAACATAATTGGACATTTGATAAAATTCAAATTCTATAGCTTATATAATAACATTTTATCAGTGTGAATTTAGAGTTTTATAAATGTGTTATGACTGTATAAGATCATTTCTTGTTCAGAGGAATACTGAAAAGTGTGTATGGGCATTTGACAATGACATGCCTGTAATTTTTACTACTCAAGTAATTCTAAAAATCTATGTACATTTGTATACATGTGTCACTTAATGTCTATAGTACAGTCTGTGAAATAGGATAGTGTGTAATTTGGATATTGTATGAACATCATAGCATTTTAGAAGCGGTCTCCATGCAACCATCGTTAAATCAGCAGAAAGCCTGTTTTTTAAAGCCTTGTGGGGACGCCAGACAAAGTCCAGGTGCTGTATCCTCTGGATACTGGAAAATGGTCTTGCCTGGCATTGGCTAGGTTGGGCAGGGTTGGCACCAGCACAAAAATAATTGTTTTGCCAACCTCTAGACATGTGAGGCTAGGAGAACAGAGAGGGGTGAGGGAAGTCAAAGGCTGCATAGCTAATGGGTAGGTGGATGAAGCCAGGAGCTGGGGAGGAGGATGCAGAATAGGAGACTCTTCAGGGTTGGGATACCCTGAACCCCACTGCTCATCAGTTCTACAGGTTTGGGGGAGGGCCTTGAAACCAATAAGAGAAGAGCTGCTTTTCTTTTTTTTTAAAAAAAAAGAACCTTAGGGTATCAATGACCATGCCATCGGACACTGCCTAGTAGATGTTGAGCGTCAGCATATGCATGTATAAAGAAATCAAACAAGTAAAATGGAAGCATTTAGAAAATCTAGGTCAAAAGTGAGAATTCTTTATACAGTTCTTTTGAACAGTCCTGACGAATCACTGTAATAATAGGAACTGTCGTGATATAGAGTGCCTGTTCTGTGCCAGGTGGTGTGCTAAAACCTTTTTGTGTGTTCTCTCAGTGTACATTGAGCTCCTTTCTCTGACTTTCCAGTACGAGTAGTCTGCAGTCCCCTGACAATACCTCTCACCTCCAGCCCTGCTTTTCCCTTTACTCCTTCTGTTCCAGCCCCCTTAGCCTCATCTTACTGCCAAACATTGCCCCACATGAGGGACACTAAATTAGCTGTCCTCTCACTGGGATATTTTATCCCTAAGCATGGTGTCCTTTATCCTGTCAACCCATCCTCCTTGAAGGGAATATTACTGCCATCTCTTACAGATGAAGATATCAAGACTCCATACACAAACCCCCAAGCTGTCATCAAGTCAGCTCCAGCTCATGGTGACCCTCCAGCAGCTTTCTGAGAGTGTAAGTTGCAACAGGGAGGAGACTGCCCATCTTTCTCCTTTGGAGCTACCGGTGAATTCATTTCAAACTGCTCAAGCCCTTTGAGTTAGGAGTGCAACCTGCTACAAACTAACCACCAGAGCTCCCTATCACAACTTGAAGAAATTAAGTATGTTCCCAGGTTCACATAACTTGTTTTGGTTAAGTGCCATCAAATCCACTACCACTCATAGCAACCGTGTGTACGAGAGTGAAAAACCTGCACAATCCTGCACCATCCTCATAATTTCTTCTGTGCTCAAAATCATTGTCATAATCACTGTATCCAACCAGCTCAGTGAGTGTTTTCCCAAGCATGGTATCCCCCTCATGACTGGCCCCTCCAGACATGCCCAGTGTATGTATGACTCTCAAACACAGACAGTCTCACTTTGTAGACTATAGTTTGCATCCTTAAATCTTCATTTATAATGTTATTATTACTCTGCTAAAAAACCCCCCAGCAATCTGTAAAAGTTTCTTCTTAACATATCAGTTGTAAATCCCTCTTTCTGGTTTTCAAGATTTTCTGAAATGCCGCCTTTCTTGTTTTATCACCTTCATTTCTAAGTCTTTCTGAATAATAAAATATTCTGACCTTTACCAAATTCGAGAACTCGTCATTGCCCTCACACTGAAGAACAAGCTGCATTAGTTGGATGGAGGTCTGATTGTTGAGGCCTTGGCTCCTTTCTTTTAATGTCTGTTTAGTATATTATTCTTTGTTGTTGTAAAGCTGATTCTGACTCACAGTGACCCCAAGAATCATGAAGTAGAGCTGTTCTATATTGGTTATAATCTATATGGGAGGAATATGCAAGGCCGTTTCTTCTATAGCATGCTGTTGTTATTTGCCATTGAGTCCCCTGTGACTCATAGTAATCTTGTGTATAATAGCTCTGAAGCTTGACCTGTCCTGAGCCAGTCCCACTGACTCTGAAACACCCACCCCCATTGCCCTAGTCACTGTATCAATCCATCTCACCTGAGCTCTTCCTCTCCTGTACTGTCCCTCCACCTTTGCAAGCATGATGTCCTTCTCTAAGGATTGGTCCCTCCTGGCCACATACTCAAACTATGGAGCTTCAAAATCATTCAGAACTTTATTCCACCTCTCCAAGACAGACCTATTTGTTTTCTTGGCAGCCCATGGTATGTTCAAGACTAATCTCCAGCACCACGACTCAAAAGGCATCAATTCTTCTTCTGTCATCCTTAGTCATTATCCAGCTCTCTTATGCATAACAAGTAATTGCAAAGACCATGGGCTGGATCAGGCTCACCTTAGACTCTATAGACTGATATCATTGTTTCTCAGTACTCTGAAAAGTTCCCTGACAGCAGATTTACCTAATGCAATTCATCTTTTGAAGTCCTGACTGCTGGTGCCAAGATCATTGATTGTGGAGCCAAGAAAGCTGCAACTTTTAACAACCTCAGTCTCTTCTCCATCCATCATGGTGCTGCCATTTAGCCCAGAGGTGAGAATCTTTGTCTTCTTGATGTTGAGCTTTAATCCATATTGAAGACTGCATCATTTGACCTGCATCAAGCATTTTAGGTCCTCCTCAGTTTCTGCAAGCAAGATTATGTCATCTTCCTCCAATCCTGATGCCACATTCCTCCTCACAAAGCCCAGCCTCCCAAATGATCTGTTCTGCATGTAGAATGAAAAGGTATGGAGACAGGATGTGTCCCTGATGTACTCTCCTGATTTTGAACCATGCAGTGTTTCCCTGCTCTGTTCTGAGACCTGCAGTCTATAGCATATTGAGTGGTTTTATTTCTACATAAATTATACTAACCTGCTCAGAGTGACCCTATAGAACAGAGTAGAACTGCTTCACAGGGTCTCCACGGTGGTAACTCTTCACAGAAGCAAATTGCCTCATGTTTCTCACACAGAGCAGCTGGTGGATTAGAACAACTGTCCATGCAGTTAGAAGCCCCAAAACATAAATTCACTATGTCACCAGGATACCATCTGCCATATCTC